CTCCCTCCCTCCCTCCCTCCCTCCCTCCCTCCCCCCCTCTCTCTCTCACACACACACACACCTTCCACATTGAAAGGAATGGTGCTTTCCTATTTTAATCCATGTATAACTTAAACAGAAGACATAGTTCCTAGGTTATTTATTTAGCAGAAGAGAGTGAGCAAGCCGCTGCATACTGTACATGCATCATTACCACTTTTAGTGAATAACTCAGAACACCTCATTTCGAGGTTGCAACTGTGATGTCCAAACTCATTTAGGTGTTAAACAAGGTTAATCCAACAATAAATCATAAATAACCCAGAGTTCTGGGTTCAGACATCATGATAACAATTCAGGAGTGAGGAAGTTGGGTTGTTCATTGGGTTATACATTGGGGTGCTCACTGAAAGCAGAAGTGAGGAACTCATGGAAGGTAGTGCATTGAATTGCTATTGCTCAGAAGTAGTGAGCAGTACACATGGACTGTTGGCATGTGTGAAATGAAACACTCTGCATAGTGAAAATGTGTTGAAGACTAGATTGGCATACCTGTTCTAGCAGTGAACACTGATCTGTGTGGCCTCCTATTATTTGGCAAGTGGGCCTAGTCCTCCTTGTTTTTCCTGCTTGTCAGGTGCTGCTTGTCACCTGAAATCCTACTGTGAAAGATTACTGCCAAATGTTATGCACAAAAGTTTGTTCTGAATGTCATCCTTAGCTTGTCCCAGGGTAGCCGAAATGCTTCTATGATGCTTGACTCCTGAAGATCCTAAACTACATTTTTATGATTTTGCCCATGCCATTGCAACAGTTTTGTCCCATTTGCTGTTCAGGTTTCATGTCCTTTGTTCGATGACATGTCCTTCTGGTGAGTGCGCCCTAAATACCTATTTGGAGTAGCTCATAGGACTGTGTCAACATGAATCAATTAAATTGTATACATTGAGTGACTTTGGCTTAGTGGGGCTTCTAACCCCGTAATGCAGGATGAACCTCTTAACTGCTATTACTGTATTTTTCCCCAGTGGCAATCGTAATCACTATAGTAATAGTAATGTTTCCCCCTCAACTCCTAATTTTGCTTTATAAGATTGTAGCAGTTGCAGGTGATATGATTGTATAGAACAAGACCATGATGATGGGGAAAGGTGGTGGGCAGTTTTTTCCTGTGGGGGGTGGCTGGAGAACCAGAGAGACACTAAGCATGGAAGGAACAAATATATGTCTAACATCACATTTTGTTTGCCTGTCAGAGACAGTTTCTACCTTTAGCTCATCCCTCTCACTGCGCTATGAACAAATAATTCCCCTCTAGTTAATATTTTTGCTCAGGCTTTCATGCAGCTGAGTGTCTTGAGAGGAAAACAAAAGAGTTTTGTCCATTATAAATTCACTCCTAGCATTATCTTCAATAGCAACTATTGCTACTACAGCTGTTGTGTTTTGTATTATTCTTCAGAAGTTTTCAATCTCTGTTTTGTTTTTAGAACAGTCGCTGTATAAAGAAGTACAAGTTACACATTCATTACAAGCAATAAATTTCTATTTCCTTGAAAGTGGACGGGAAGGATATAATTCCTTTTAGGAACTGATTAACCAAGCTGCCTCCATACTGCATAGAATATAATATTTCAGCAAAGAGCTGATTGTGATCTTTGGTTTGCATTGTCTACACTAGTGTGTACTGAAGCTATTTGTTGTCTTCTAGGCTGATCTGTTTGAAATACAAGCTGTGTCACTTGGAAATCTACAAAAGGTGTTGCTGTGCTGCAAGGCCTATAACAAGTCACAGAATTGGTACTGTGAGAAAATAATCATCAGAGAACCTGAGAAAAACTCAGAATATATTTTCATCTGTGAAAGGTTGTATTTAATTAAAGTTCTAAAAGCAACTTTCCAAATAACACCTTATTTCTTAAGTAGGCAACAATATATCTTAAGACTTAAATGTTGCTACTCTTCCCCCACTTCCACAAGCAGTGTGGAGGTCCAGAATTTCAGCTGTGAGCTGGGTTTTTCTTTCTTTGGATGGAGAAATCACTGGAGGTGTTTTCTAATAGTTAGTATAGCTACCAATACACTGGTTGAGCACAGGTAGAGGCAGGATAGCTTGATTAACTCCTACAAACAACAAATTTTACTATTCCATATCAGGTTTGCAGGGTGAGCCTTCAAAAGGTCCCTTCCAAGCTGTTTCTGCCTCTTAATAAAAATGCAGCTTCTCCCCGCCCCCCATTCCCAGAATGTAGCTATGTTAGTCTGTTGTAAGTAAAATAAACCAAATATTGTCACAGTTCATTGTGCTAGTTAGACCCCAATAAATCACAGTGTATATGGGTACTAGGTAGCATGTCCAACCCCAGCTTGAAGCTTGCTGGGTCATGTAAGCCTGGCAAATGTGGATTATGAGAGGGTTGTTTAACCCTTGTATAACCCATACTCGCCAGGTTTCATGGCATGGCAAACCCTGAGCTGGGATCCCATGTTCAGAAGAGGGGCTGAATGTGCCCCTCTTAAATAACTCATGGAGTGCTATTATATCATGTAACTTTAAAGACTAACAAATATGTTCTGGCATAAACTTTTATGGGCCACATCTTATGCCAGAATATATTTGTTAGTCTTTAGGGTGCCACAAGACTGTTCTCTTTCTCTCTCTCTCTCATTCCTTTGTGATTTTTCACAGATCTAGCTTATGTTGTTCTTAGCTACCATATTTTCTGGCTGTTTAGAATACATCCATTGACCATTTAGGAAGGTATGGCCAGGCCTGGCTGACCAGATTAGACCCAAAAAACAATTTCAGCATTCCAAGCTCTATTAACCTAGGTGAAAAACATAAAAGGAAACATGCTCCTGAAATTTTATAGTTATGCAGAAGAAGACATTTCGGCAGATAAAGCCTCTATGTAACTATTAAAGATAAATCCTTTTTACCTCCCATCACAGGGCTTACATGGCTGTTAATCTTATCTATTTTCAGTTTCACTGCAGAACTGAGATTCAAGTACAAGGAGTGTTTTCTTTCTAGCTTTTCCAGTACATGACCTCTAGATGGCACTGTGGTAACAGAGTGGAATTACAGAAGTGAAAATAACATTTTATTTTGTTTTCAGAAATAATACCCCACTTTCCTGTCCCCCCCCCAAAAAACATCCAAAAACAAAAGAAAAAGAAAAAACAACCCCACTCTTCCAAAGTACTATTTACAAGCAGAAATGAAACTAGAAGGTCATCATGATACCAACCCCCAAACTATCATGAATAACAAGACTTCAATAAATTACTTGCATAGAGAAGCTCTCTAGTGCTCAGTTTCTGTATTAGTTTTCTCATTTTACAAGTAGTTCTGAGAAAATTACTCAATGAAGAAGTAGAGATAAGTAATCCTCTTTGCAAATTGCTCTAAAGGGAAAAAGCACAGTGACTCCTTATGAACAGTGGTAACATAATACATTAAGGGTTTCTCAGGTTAGTGTGGAGTGTACTGAGTTGTATTATTTCCTGTCTGGAACACTGTCAGCTTTCGGACATCATTTGGGACTTATAGTGAAATGAGCCTAATTTCTTCCATCAAGATATAAAGCTGGTTTATGTGAGGCAACAACCCAGAGTATTAGATGAGTATGGGTTGAATCTTGGGTTGTATCATATGCCAACTTTGCAGTATGGTTAAACTATGTGTTGTTAACCCCAAACAACATGGAATTCACAAACCAACAACCAATTGTGACATATCTTCCTGGGTTGTTTGTGGTTAAGGCATAAAGCAGTCTGCACATAACAACCATGATTCTACAACCACCCATGATTCAATTATAGCCAGTACTTAACCCATACGCTGGCTTTTTGCTATGTGCAAACAAAGGGTTCAGAATCACTAAGGTTTTCCAGGGAGTCACCTCTAGAAATTGCCTGAATAGGGTACTTTAATTAGTTATTTGGGTATAAATGGTGCATAGGTCTGGTCAGCAAAACAAAAATCCAAAAATATAAACTTTGAGGTACAAATGAAAAAACCTTTCATCTCAACCTTTTGCAGGTATCTATAGCACCAGTACTGCACAGAATTTGACATATGGCCATCAGACTATTAAGGGTCTTTAGAAAAAAAGAAGGAATAAAACAACATTTGAATACAAGCTCTCCCAACTCTTAACAAATAATGTTCTGTTTTCTTTCCTCAGTCACACATATTCCACAAAAGATAGATTTTTCTGTTTCAGCAGAACATGATCTCATATACCAGCAGTGGCCAACCTGTGCTTTTCCAGCCATTTGGCTTACAACTACTATCAGCCTTGGCTAGAATAGCCAAGCCTGAGTGATGGTGGGAGCGGTGAGCCAGAATACTTGAAGGGCCACAAGTTGGCTACCGTGGCACAGCCAAAAGTTCCTCTCACACTTAACCTAATGAACATCAACATTTTTCTTGCTTCTATAAAGCTTCACTTAAAATAACTTTTAAGATTGCAAGTATATGTTTCTTTGTTTCAATTTATTTTTAGAAGCCCAAGTTTGTTGGCTTTTTTTAGTTTTGTTGTCAAAAATATGTGCATATGTAATCACCAGTTCTTCACAATATCTAATGCAAAAGTAATCAGCCACTTCATATATTTGATTAGGTAGAGTCCTTTCCTGCTTTGCAGCTAAGCATTTCTATCAAGGTGCTGAGTTCCCTCATTTGCCTACCAAATGGCTCTCTGTAAAACCAAAGGTACTTGCTAGTTTTTAGAGGACATAGATGTTTGGGTACTTTAATGTTGTCCAAAAAGCCAATAGGATATTTATTTCCCTCCAGTCTCTGAGGGCACAGAACTGAACCCTGAAAAATAAAATTACCCAAGACCTCCAGTCTCTGAGGGCACAGAACTGAACCCTGAAAAATAAAATTACCCAAGACACTTTGCTAAAGAGAAGCCCAAATGCTTTCCCCCTGCACTTTTCACACAGTAATTCTGTCTCTTTGGTTCACCTCCCTCAAATCTACTTCAGTGCACTGGAATCAGAATCAGATCATGACACCCAAGTGCCTGGTGGCATCTAGCAAACCAGATATAATTCTTTGGGCTACTTGGGTCCTCCATTGTAGAGACTCTAGCTTCTGCTGTTATATTGTTCTCCTTCTGTGAGAAAAGCATGACAGATGTGTTTTGTTCTATGCAAGTCCATGCTATAGTTCTTAATCTATGGAGAACTGGGGCAATGCATTGCAGCTTTGTGACATGGGAAGCACCTATGAACAGGGTAAATACTTAAGTTTGGACAGCATAAGTACTTAAACTAAGTCCCACATTTCCCAGCATGTTTTAGCTGACCATGCTAGCTGAGGCATGATGGGAGTTGTAGGATTATTTTTAACTGTCCAGCTATGCCTAAGATTGTGCCCTAAATAGACTGCCAGAGCCATCAGGAGAAGACCTTGGTCCTACTGGAAACTGCCTGAGATGACAGTTCTTCATAGTGTTTGTGACTTGTTTGGCTATGCTAATTTCAGCAGTGCTCAAATTTAGCAAAATAATTATAAATGTGTTCAGAAAAATTAGTACTGCTTTGAGCAACATTCAAGGCAGATTATTCTGCAGTTCTAAGGGTCTACCAGACTGGGTTTCTTTGCCAAAAATGATACATTTTATGTACAGTTTCAAGTGGTGACATAATGACAGTAATTTCATAACAATAGAGGCCAAATTACATGTGTCGTTGATCATTTGGTTTGTCCTTGAGTGCAGGATTTTTCTTTCAACAATAGGTAACGTGGATGTTCCAGTCTTGATTAGAACCATAGAGAACACAAACTGGGTGTGAAGGGGCACTTTGGGGTTTTGATCTGGATTGGTCATTGCATGACTGAAATTTGCATGGGAAAAAGCTCTCATTTGCTTCCATTAGAACTATTGTCCCCATACAAATTTAGACACGGCAGGCTCTATTCAGATTATGTCCACACTGAGAAGAAAATGCTAAAGTCCCCTAATTCCTATACTAGGGTGCCAATGCAGAGTGGGCTCCCCATACCGGGTATTTCCGAGACAAACACCCTATATAGATGGGCAAATCATATGTTTAATATCCAATTTGATTTGGCCTTTAGGTTTTGTAATCTGGTTGTTTTGTTTTTATTGCAATGAAGATCTTCTGCTGAAAGTGTGCAGCACATTTCCCAAGGTTTCTGTAAACTAATGGCAGCGGCATGATACTTTCATGTATTTTGGTGAAAACATTATATCAACATGTGTTTAACATTTATTACCCTATGTAACATGTTCACTTTCAGAGGTTATTACAATTAGACTAATGATGTATATAAACAGATATAACAAAACTGATTCCATGTACTTCTCTCTTTCTTTCATACATTCTGCCTTTTATTCTCAGATGGCTGCCATTTATGTCCCAAGGCAAAATTCATTCGGAAGTAGAGCTCTTCTGTCAAGGTAAAGGAAATGGTTAGAGCAGGATAAATGAAGCTACAGTCCTAAACAGATGTGAGTGAGCCCCATTGAAGACAGTGGGATTTACTCCTGCGTAAACCATTGTTTGCACAACAAAGTTACATGGATAATCTGAGATACACACACATACAAATATCATTTTTGTGGAACTGTATATTAGAACATGCCCTGGCTCTCTCGCTGTTCGTTGAATATTCAGGTGGCCACCTGCCTGCATCGCCACCCACCATGGTTTTAAATAAGTTACTGTGCCAGTCAGCACAGTGAACATGTGCATCTTCCTACCTTGTGTCTCCTCCACTGTCCTCTTATTTCTGTGTTAACATTAAGGAAAAGGATTCACAATGCAACATCCAATAGAATGCAACCATAAACATAACTTACAGCACAGTATCATAAACCAGTAAAGTGGGCTGCCCATGTGTTTCCCAGGGAAATAAGGGTAATTTACACTAGTGCAGCATAACATAGTGGTTGTGCCCTGTTGGATACTGCTTCCAGGAACCCTCTGTTGGAACCCCTTTTGTTACAAGTAGTTTCTCTCTGATCTGCAGAGGAGATGATTTACATTATATCAGGTAAAACACAATGTGTTGTAAGCCGCCCCGAGGCTTCGGCGAATGGGGCGGCATAAAAATGTTTTAATAATAAATAAATAAATAAATAAATAAATAAATAAATAAATAAATGTAATGCCCCCTTCCTCTATGGCCTTTCTAGCTGGAATGGTAAGTGTGCATTTGTACCAGCCATTCTGGCCTTCCTACCTTCCTCTCATCCCAGTGCAAAACTGCATCTGCCCTTGCTTGGCACAGCTGTGCTGTGGCAGTGGGGGAAGGCTGACACTGGTACAGGAGTACTTTGTTATTGTTAGGCAGCGACCAGACACCAGTGTGTGTACAATGATGCCGGTTTTCTCACCCCATAGTTCTGGAATCTCTGTGCAGTTGTGAGTTTGAAGTTATCCAGGGCAGTTAATCAATGTGCAAAGTGATCTGCATTTAGGTGCTTCCAAGTACAGAATTGGTTTGTGAAAGAAATGCATGTTCTTGTGCAGGAGAGGAAGATTAACACAATACAAGCACCTCCTTTCATTTTTCATTATAACCTGACAACTCTATTATTAACAACAGTGCTCTTTTATTTTTTATTTTTTTACAGAAATGCAAATAAACAATCAGCTGAAAATGCAAGAAGAAGAACATGGTAAATTATGCTGCTCATTACTAAATGGCTTAGGACCTGGATATCTGAAGGAGCGTCTTCCTCACTATGTGCCTGCCCACCCATTAAGATCTGGGTTGGAGGTTCTTCTTCAGGAGCCCTCTTTGAAGGAGATTAGGAGAGTGGCTCTGTGGTGGTGCCCCAGTTATGGAATACACTCCCCATACAGGTTCACCTGGCACCGGCCCTTATTTTTTTGGTACCAGGCCAATTTTTTCTCCAAGTCTTTATGGTTTAAATTGTCATTTTAATTGGAATTTTGTAGAGGATAATGCTGTGCTTTACTTTCTTTTATTGTAAGACCATCCTGAGACTTTTGGTAAGAATATGGTCCACTACAAATATATAATATAATATAATTTAATATGGAAATGGGAAATGGGATTTCTGAGAACATTTTGCCACCTTTTAAAAGTGCCACCTTTTTGGAGGAATGAATTGTACAGAATTTATAAAGGCCATTTCTTCATCAACACCCATTAAGAAAGAGAGTGGTGCTTTCTGACCTCCCTCTGAATTAATCTCTTGATGTCATCATCCAAATCTAATTGGTTGTGTGACTTATCACAGAGCCAATTCAGAATGAATGACACAACAAAAAGTCAATTCAGAAGTCCAACAATGCTTCCTACTGCTATTTGGGCATTGTACTATTTTTGCAGCCATGTTATGATTGTAGATCTCATTACTGGGTTGCTGGGTCAAGGAGAAATGGTGCCAGGTGGCAAAGTAGAAAGACAAGAATCTCCACACAGGTAGTGAACAAATAGCGAGTAGGGTTTGCCCACAGTCAAGACTATCAGATGGTGGGCAGAGTTTGAATGTGAAAGAAGAGGAAATAAGAGTATCCATTCTGGCTCATTTAACTATGGCTAATGATGTTTTAGTCCTCCACTGTTCCTAAATTGAATTATATTTAAGTAATAGTCAAGAGAACATTTTGAAAATCTGCATGTCTAATGTACTATTATATTCAATTACCTTTGATTCAAGTGCAATTTGCTTGATAAATATCTAATTATAATATTTTAATCTGAATATTGCACAAGAAGAATATTCAAGATGACAGCTAACTTATGCAAACTTCTACATCCATTTGTAAATATTACTTTAAGCAGCTGGCTTTGCCCTAATTATTTGTAAGTGTTTTCAAAAGAAACTGTATTTCTCTGGGAGAGCTGTTACCTGTATATGATCTTATTGCCTCCTTTAAACAATGCAAGTGACCCTGGTCAAATATACACTAGTTTTACTTACACACAGGCTGAATTCACACAAAACAGCCAGTCTTACTGGAAATTGTTTGTTGCTATGCATGAATCTAGCAAGCATAGTGAAGCACAGATCATTTGGTTATCATTTGCTTACCCTTGGGATCAAAACTGATGTGTGGCTTTGTTCTGGAATTTAGTGGAATCTAGGTTCAATCTGAGCTGAAATACTGTTTTTTTTTCTAAACATAAGCTCAGTCTCCAAAATGTCCCCATTTATCCATCACTTATCTAAACATTATTTTCACTTTTTAAGTGAACAATTGTTAGTGTTCCCTGGGCTCAGTGATACATTGGTTGCTATAAAGCCGGGACCATGCACCTCTTCAGGCACATAGTAGTTACTGAGATAAAACTGCTCTGTCAGTGGCACTCACTTTCATTTTGTTTTTACCTGCAGGAGAAGATTGGAAAATCACTATAGTCACTGGAGCTTTTGAAACAGCTGGCACAACAGCAACCGTGTCCCTTTATGTTTATGGAGAAAACAAAGCTTCAGGTCCTCTTATACTGGGATCTGGGGAGCACCAGCTGTTTAATCCCAACAGCACAGATACATTTAAGGTACAATACAACTTCGTATAAATAAGGAGGAATTTACTTATGCAAGTTATTCAGAGTAGGTTTATTCCAAGGTGAATAAGAGACAGATAACCATTTCATAGTAATGATTTTCATTCTGCATTCCATTTCTGAATTGTTCATTGATATGGCATGCAACATCCCCTGAGATAACAGAGTAATTGTATATTTAAGGTAGTAATCAACTTAACAGTACATTACTAAGATTAGCATTCAAGTAGATGAGTCAGTCTAAGGAAGTTCAGTACTGGATATCTACTTCTCTCCATTTAGCAGTACTGATATTACTGTTTTTTACATGTCGTAATGCAGAGACTGCAGTCCATATCATGCTTAAATCCACTGAGTATTTATTTAATCTAAACAATGCAGCCAAGAGGCAGGTGAACAAACAGTCAGAACAGAGAGGAGGAAAAGGCTGCTCTTGTCAGTGGGCTCTTGCTAGGGTGAGGACCATTGGCAAGTGTCTGACCGTGCATGCCTGATGCCAACCCTGCCACCCATAGTTTGAACTAGGACAACCAAAGCTAAAGCACTAAATATACAACAGGCAATGAGCCACTGAAGATACCCCTAGCCATCCTTCATCATGGCTCCCCACAAATCACAGACAAGAATCCAAGTTAGAGGTGGATCATGGTCTGTTTCTTTAATACCATTTAGTGGATCATGTTCCATTTACAGTGCAATCTTTTGCATGCCTGCTCAAAAGTAAGCCTCATTACTTCAGGCAGTTGGCACATGCAGTGTCTCATTACCAACCCAACTCAGGGATATGGCACTTTAGAGACATATTCTTTTCTTATAGCATGAAGGTTTCAAATACACCTCTCTAGGCTTACATGTGGAGGTCTCTCCTGTTTGGAAATTAAACATCAGGCTTACTGCATGCAAGGCCTGTGTTTGGTCACTGAGATACAGTTTTTCACCATGATGTCATATGTTCTGCACAGTGTAGATATGACTTGGACCAACTGCTGTGCAGGTAAGCCAAGAAAAGCTGGTTTCTTTATTGCTCTGGATGGTAAGGTGTTTTATGGATCCTAGTGAAAAGTCTGAGGACTTGGATATACTTTAGAAGCAGTAGTATTGTAGTTATTTGATATGGATCAACTGGTGTGGGGAAAAGTGTCAATTCATGAATGTCCCATCATATTTCTGTTTTCCAGCTTCATGGGCTGAGAGCCCCATATATCCCTCCCTCCCCCCTTCCTTGCTTCCTTCCTTCCTTTTTTCAATTTTAAATTTAAATGTGTACAAGGTATATAGCATGCTAACTAAGATTACTTTATTTGATAATAGAATTTGGATGTTCTCATTTGAGAACTGGAAAAGGGGGAAATGGAGGGAAATTCTATCTCCTTCCATGTGTTGTTATGTTGTTAATACTTTCTTTTTGAGATATAAGAAACATTGACAGTGATGGATAAGTAGGTACACTTATTGCTTGCAATCGTGAAGTAAAATATGAGAAGACAGAAGGGATGCCTTCTCATCACTGTGCTGTGCTGACAGTAATGTTCTTAAAGTTAGTACATGCTGACAGAATGTCTTGCATAAGCAGTGGCTGTATAGGTTTAACGTGTCTGCCCCTTCAGAACACATCACATAACTTGGCACATATCAACACAGTTGGCAATCTGTGCTTAAGATTGGGTACTGGAAGAGCAGGTGAAGTGAAGATAAAGAATGAAGTGCTTTACAAAGCTTTGTCGGAGGATGCTGAAATGATACCTGCTCCTAAATATGTTCCTTAGATAAGTTGGGTATTGTGAAGACGCAGATAGATGCTAGTATATATGGGACTAAATTTGGGTTCTCTCTCTCCCTCTCCCTGTCTCTCTCTCTCTCTCACACACACACACTCAGATGCATGCATGGGGGGTGGGGTGGGGAGTTAACCACTGGGCTAATATTGGAAGTCTAGTATTAATCATTCTATTTAGAATTGGTATTAGCCTAATAAGCAGTAATCTTGAGGGTAAGAAAGAATATTTCCCAATTATAACAATACTTTCTTGAAATCTGAGTGCTTTATGAATGGAATCAAGACAACTTTATGGCCTGCAGTTTGGAGCCAATGAAGATGACTGAGGATGGTTATTGAAATACTACATTTGGAAATGAGAACTTTGTAATATTCCTAATTAAAACAAGAATTCAATTCTCTGCTCAGATACTGTGTATTCCTTGGCACTTGGTATACAGAGACACAGATCAGTGGAATGCAGATCACTCTTTTCCAAGTGCAGCCACAGGGAGATTTTTTTTTTAACCTCTGTCATATGGTGAAGAGGCATAAACACTGTTAAAGGAGCAGTGAAAAAAGCAACTCTGGATTCTGCTGGTAATTCCATACGTGGCTGGGGTAATGTTGCCAATAGAAGATACACTGAGAATTGGTGAGCTTAAACTACTCCAAACCACACTGCCCAATTGTGGTTTTTGTCATGGAGGAGGATCCTATTATTGGAGTATTCAGCTAAGAAGCAGAAAATCTGTCTGCTTCTAACAGACTGAAATAGGGTATCACCCTATGCATTTCTGCGTGGGAAAAAGGCATGCTATTCCCAGCGTGTCCCAGCCAGCATGACTGGTAAAGTACATAAGTAGAATTCAACAGGAAAGCATTTGTGCCTCCCGTTCCTGCTGCCTGTTGTTACATATACTGCTGCGTTGAAATCATAACCAGAATTTTCACTGGGTATGATGGCAGTGGCAAGAAATTCCCACTAAAAATTGTAGATGGGGGATTTAAATGAAAATCTTGAAAGTATTTGGGTTTTGTTTTCATAAAATTAAAAGGTAGTTAAGGGATTTGTAAATGTTGCACTGTATTTGCCTTGTCCCATAGAAAGACAACTGTCATCAAGAATGTAAATTAAGACAAGAATTTCAGGTGACTGAACTGATCATTAGATTTGGAAAATCCAAAAACAACAGTAACATAATAGATTCAATATACCATTCTTATTAATGTGGGGAAAGAAAAGCAGCAGTGCAGTGTGACTGAGAGAGCTTTATGATCTGTAGCATATTATGCAAGCTGACAGATGTCTGACAGTATTTTAGTTGGCAAACAACTGCATTTCACGAGTCCGTACTGCTGAGACACTGGCTTGATAACTGATCAATCAGTAAGACGTGTTCCTTCAACCTCAAACTGCAGCAATACATGGATTAGACAATACAGTTTTGTGTGTTGAGCAGAACTCACTGCTTGCCATTAAAATGTCTGGCTGAATTTCCAGGAGAACATACACATTGATTCCTTAGCAAAGAAACATACTACAATTATTTATACATTTGGAACCAGTATGAAGTCTGTTTTTAATTTGGGAACAAATTGAACTTTCTCCCACAAATTGTTTATTCTCCCCTAATTTTCTCTCTTTAACAAGATAATTTGGAAGTACTGGTCAGTTTAGATTTGGTGGTACTGGTTAAATTAGTTGAATTTCATTTCTGTATAGGGTTTTGATTGCAACCCGCTGCCCCCCCCCCCAAAATAAAATTGTTGCACAACTACGAAAATCTGGAGTGTAAATAGGAGCAGGCAGACAAAATTGATGGAGCGAAGATATAGCAGATGGTGCAGTGGCAGCAGCATGTGGCAAAAGCAGCAGTGACAGGGAGCAGGCTCTCCTTTATCCTGTATATTCTTTCCCAAATGTTCCAGCCAATATAGGAGGCTCTGTGCCAAATTCTTTCACTGCTGATGACAGATGCGAGGCTACTGGGGCAGGACCTTATAAGTGTGGCATCAACCCCGACAGAGCTTAGGAGGCAGAGCAGGCTGTGATACACATACTTTTCCTTCCAGCTCTTTGCCACCATTCTCTGCTTCCCAGCATCAGCTACATGAGAGCTTTCCTCCTTATGCTAAATGGTAATGCTGACCCAGCTTCTAAATCTAAGAATTAGGCCAGCTATAGCTCTAAAAGCTTACGAAGACTTGTGCTGGATCAGAGAAGTGGCCTGTCTGGTGCAAGCATTCTGTTCTCCGAATGGCCAACCAAATGCCTGGAAGAAGCCACAAGAGGACACAAATACATTAGTAACCTCCTGTCTGGGTTTCCCAGCAGCTGGTACTGAGACAAATCCTGCCTCTTATACTAGAGGTAATATATGGTCATCACAACTAGTATCCATGAATAGGCTTATCTTGCATGAATTTGCCTGATTCCATGTTAAAGCTTTCCAGGTTAGTGGCCTTGCCATCAAGCACTTCTAGTACAATTGGCTGGCATTTATTCTGTAGGGAGTTACTCTTTCAGTGATTCCCTTGAGGCCCACTGAATGGAAGTAGATGAGCTCCAAATTTCTGCCCATGATTCTTTGGGCAATGCTTTATTTATTTATGAACTTTCTAGCCCACACTATTAACCACACAGCTCACTGGGGTGGGTTACAGCAATAAAAACCATATAAGAACAATATGAAACAGTAAAAAATGCCACAATCAATATAAACATTAACAACAATAAAAGCTCACCCATCAGAAATCCTGATTTCATAATAGACATTTCCCCTTCTATTAAATACCATTAAAACATGATTTAACAATTAAAATGCTGGCAAAATAAAAAGGTCTTCACCTGGTGCCAGAAAGAGTATAAAGATGGTGCCAGGCGAATGCCTCTAGGGAGCTCATTCCAATCCTTCCATAGCTTTCTTCTGCAGTGAATGAATCATAAAAGCATCATTCTGTTACCATTCAGGCCATGCCTTCAGAAGACAAAATCATGTCTAGAATTTTAGTGGGGATAATATTTCATCTTCCTGGCTATGCAGGCATACCTTAATGCTGAGCCTTTAATTTAGCAAGAATTTCTGATTTCCCCCACCTGCTTCCTCGTCTGTTTAATCTCACCCTCTTGCCCAGATAGGGAATACATATTCAGGTTTGCTTCTTAAGGCTACTGCCTTCTGTGTTGTGTAGCAGACTCCTTCCACATGACAAAAGAGCTCTTATATTTCATTTGCTGGTTGTGTATTTGTGTTTTGTTTGTTTGTTTTGTTTTAAATAACACATGGCTTCAACCCATAAGCATCTGTAGGAATACTGAACTCTTGAAATGGCAGCTTGTTAAAATGAATGAAGATTAAAAGGAATTGTAAGTGTAGAGGTGAAGTGTATGTGAGTTCTTATCCAGTTAGCTAACTCACTGTTACCTGCCATGAATAAAATGGCTCTGGTTTTGTAAAGAATTTAAGGATGCAGTGAAACTTAAGCACTAATCCCATATCTACTTACATTGAGTGAGCCTAACTGAATTAAGTGAGCCTCTTTTTATGGGAAAACATGTATAGGATTCCTAATTAAGGCAAATTGAAATTTGCCTTCTTTGTGGAGGATATGAGAAGACTTTTTTAAGTTTTGAAAAAGGTGATGAACAATATTTCATATCAACCTACTTCTTAAGGACTAACAACATGGTTATATGGCCAATTATATGGGACTTTGCAAGAAGACTAAAGTTAAAATTCTATGCATCCATCAAAAAAGTATGCATAGTTCCCAACCAGTGATGCTATATGGGGAATATGGGAGGTATTGGACTTTTTTCTTTCTAAAATTACATAGGGTTGCACCCAAAAAGACTGGGGGGGGGGGCAGGAACAGTGGACCCAAGCTCTCACCTGTGCCACTTCTGGAACCTGATCCAACAGAGTTGCAGATACCTCTGTCTGCATATATAAGCCAAGTGGGGAATGATACCCACCTGATACTAACACAAAGAATTACTTGGTGATGTAAGACTATCGTCAGTCTAGTCCAATATTTTATTTTGAACAACAGCTAGGCAGGTGTTCCTGGGCCCTCACAATGAGAACAGAACTACAGATTTTTTGTGTGTCCCAGCATCTGGCAGAGAAAAGTATGATGCCTCCATACTTGGAGTTTCCCATATATGTACATATCATGACTCAACTGTAAATAGGTTCTTCCCCTAGCAGTATACCAAATCCAAATGCTGATCACCTTACCTTGTGTTGACATGATTCCATGGGTTGATTATCTTCAATGTAAAGAAGTACATCCTTTCATCATACCTGAACCTGCCGTTGTAAGTCAGCTTCACTTAGTTTTCCTAATTCACGATAGCATCTCTGCACCTCGGGAAATCAAACCCTGCCAAATAGTCTCCCAAAAAGTACATGGCATGCACTTCCATCATGATGTATATTGTAAGAAACAGAGTTCTGTTTAAAGTTCTTTTTTAAGTTCATGAACAAGGGTGGGGCAAAAGGCACCCAAAAACTCTAGCCCCTTACAGGTGACTCACAGCTGCCACTTGCTTATGTGGTCATGATAGCAGTCACAGTCTATATTGCTGCCTAGCACCATTTTTATTCAAAGCTTCTTCTCCTCTGCATACTTTTCATTGAAAGCAGTAACTTGCCTCATTCTGGCATCTTCTGATTTGGAAAGACTTAAAAGGGGTTCAGTAGCATTAGGGAAAGGTAATACTGTACCCAGTAAGTGGGGCAAACACGTTTAATTTTTTCCAAATCCCCAAAACAACCGTGAAGAGTGGCTCATGATCTCCATTAAAATATTTGATTTCTTGTTTCAAAATATATCTGGAATAATCGAAGCAACCAGTCTGAGACTTGGATAATTGAGGGTTGGAGTAGGGAAGAGAATATTTTTCTGTGTTTGTTTTAAAGTCAGAGACCTGATAGGTACACAGCTTGGAACCTCAGCATTTAAAGGAACATCTCTTACCATGTATACCTACCCATGCCCTAAGATTGACAGAGGAGACCCTTCTCTAAATGGGTCTTCAATCTTAAATATCTGTAAGAAGGCCCTTACAGCTTTCTCTCTCCCCTGCCATTTTTGGAATGCTTCTGTGAGAGATGTTTCCCTCATGCCCAGGTCAATACATCTCTATTTTCCCAAGCCTTTTAAACATCTTGTAACAACATTTTATTATTGACTTTATCTGATAATGGATAATGGCTTTGTTTCAGCTTCAGCTAATTTATGTGACCTAGTTTTTTAAATCAATGCTGACATTTGTTTTATCTTTTTATGTTGGATTTTGGATTATTAATTGTTCAGTGTTTAATGTTTCAATGTTGTTTTGCATTTTGTCTGTTTAGAGAATCTAGTGCATACTTCAACACAGAAGTACGGCAAATGCATTAATAAATAGGCAAAGTTAGAGAGCTTTGGCAGTAGGTCTTGGCGCACTTCTTTCTGCAACATTTTTGCAATGAAACCTTTCTGATGAATGGCACTTGAGCTATAACACAAGCTTTTCTGCCTATCTTAATATTCTGCAGATTAATCTAAAAGATGTTGGGGAGCTATATAAAATCCGGATTGGCCATGACAACAGTGGACCAGATCCCAGTTGGTACCTCAATGAAATTAGACTTCAAAGAATGAACTCACCAGAAGAGCTAGAGATGTGTTTTCCCATGGGCTGCTGGCTATCTGAAGACCGAGATGATGGAGATACCTGGAGAGAAATACCAATAAGTAGATCTAAAAATGCACTTCTACCATGTATGTCTATTGTATAGGATTCTGCTTGTTAAGCTGCATGTATAAGAGACTTATTTTAATCTGTATTAGGGACCTTTTAAGTTTAATCATTGAAAAGGTATTGTGAAACCAGTATACATAGAAGTGAATATTTCACAGTGAATATTCTTTTTCAAAGGGCATTCCTAGAGTTATGGTTAAGCCATTCCTAAAAACAAACATTTGTTTTGGGAGCTTCTCTATGTGGGCGAAACAGTTTTCAAAAGACAGAAATTAATTGAGTTTCAACTTTACCTGAGGGACCTGGATGCATTACTTTGTCACATTATTTAACATGGTTTACTTTGTCAAGAAAAGATCAGTGTGGTGTAGTTGTTAGAGAAGGGATAGACAGTCTTTCTGGGCAATAAGCACATTTGGTGATTTGAGAAACTGTTCTGGGCACTGCCACAAAATGGCTGCCAAGTGGTGTGGCAAAGGACAAGTAACTTAACCAGGCTGAGTACAGAGCAGTGGTGGAATCTGGGCCTGAACACACTAAATTAAATTTTTAAACCTACAAATTCCAGCAACCTACCTCCCATGGTTGTTTGGGGTACGGAGGAACTATTTCCACTATTTGTTCCTTCAAGAAAGGTAACATATAATGAGACATAGTAAATGAACAAATTGGAGATGTACTAACTGTGCTATCAGTGTAGCAAATATTATTCTACCTGATGTAATATGTCTAAAGATATTCAAGGATTCAGAATACATGAGGTTTATGCTGTGGTTTCTGACATACTGAATTATTTACAGAATCCAGTAATGGTAGGTCAAGAAGGGAAATGCAGGCCTCACAGGGCAAATTCATGTGTATCCAACTTAACATAATAGACTAGATAATTTGTATTATAAAGCATACTACAGGAAAAAATGAAAGATAAAATTAAATCTAGGACAGGGTAGGTATAGTAAAACCATAAAGGTAAGAGAAAGGACTATAAATGAAAACTCTGAAAGCTCAAGTGTAGAGAGGTTCCAACTCAACAGTCGTTGCACATGGGTAGGTCAGTCCTAAGTAACAGGCAAGTTGTGCTGTTCCAAAGGAACAGGCAATTGTTTTCATCATCCTCTGCTGCCTGAAAGGGAGTGGAGTTCAGATCCTTTAATCCAGAGAGGTGGAGATGTAGATCATAAAGGGTGCAGTGCAGTAACATGACCAGTCCTGGAAGAGACCACATCATTTCAAACTATGGCATCTCCAGGAAAAAACACATGTGCACACACACACACCCCTAAACTGGAGCCATTACCAGTCACTGCCAGGCTAAGAGCTCAATTCCATTTTATAGAAGCTCTTAGCAGCTTCATTCCAGTTGTGGGTGCAAAAGTACAGGACCGAAAGTAAAAGGAGTGAAACAAAATCCAAAAACTAGCAGCATCATTTAGCTTAAAGTTTCTAGTACCTGTAACAAAGCCTTAGTATAGTTATTTTAGTCTATTGAAATGGAAGTAGATCAACACAGAACCTGGGAAAGCACCAAATGATTTGTGTTCTGGGGAAAAGGATTGAGCCAGGGAAAGGGAGTGTGGCTTTCTCAGGAGGGCTGAGTTTGGCCTTAGGATACTTAATACTGTTATCTCTGGATAGTTTGACTGCTTCCTGGTTTCCTAGTTTTTACATCATAGCCTTGTCATACCCAACATCTGATGCTATAGAAACTGCAGGTGAGGTCTTCCCATTGACATAACATGGACAAAACAATGCCTGACTCATCATGACCACTCTTTGTAGTGATTATTCTGTGAGGATGGAGTCATATTTTACCTAAACAACACCATTGGGAAGTGGCTGCAATCAACATGTTTGCCTCACATCAGCTAGTTTCTAGGTCAATTAAAAGCAATGGTATTCCCATTTAAAGCAATAACCAAGTGTAGGGAAAGACTATCGTTTTCTGGATGTTATTAGACTTAAATGCCTGTTAGTTCCAGCAAGCATGCCTAAAACTTAGTCAAACAACATCTGGAAAGTCAGAGATTCTCCATCCCTGCTTATAACACTTTGGGATGAGTTTATCTCAAGACCATCTGCAGTGTATAAATCCTTCAGATTGACATTGGAAGTTCTGCACTTATACCTCCTATTAATTAAGATTCTATTGATGGGAAGTGGAGACAGGGTCTCCTCTGAGTCCCACATCTGGGAACTCATTTCCCAGGAGGTGTGCCAAGTACCATCTCCAATTGTTTTTAGATGTATTAGAAGACTCTCCTGTGTTGGAAGGATTTTTACCATTGACTTTGTTTTTACTAGACTTCTTTGTTTCAAATTGCTTCTGTCTTTAATCACGTGATCTGTAATATATAATGTTATTATTTTACAATTTTATTTATCCTAGTGTAGTGTTCCGTATGTTGTTTGTGCTGGCTTTTTCTTGAATAAGTTTCGGCACAAGAGTTCATAGAGTGCTAAAATACTAGGAAGTTTTTGCAGCCTTTCCCAAGATTCAACATGGGCAAGAGATTGTTCAGGCTTCTGCCTTTCCAGTCAAGTGACTTCAGATTTAGTTTCCCTTTCCCTGTTCAATACTTGAGCATGACATGGAAACCTTCCTTTCCATGAGCAGAAGATACCAAACACTTCAGAGTAAATGAGTGTTCCGTGTGGCCTGTATTTCTCATTGACTATATTATTTTCCAAAGTAGAACATTTGTTCAGCTTTATTAATAATGGTGCTCTAATGGTATATTTATCTTTGCCATGTCTGGCACATTATATTTATTGAAATATATTCAGCAAGTAAATGCAAATAGAAACATTATATAGCTGTTAGCCGCATCCTACATTTCTAAGTTTCTGACTTCAAATTACCTATTGATTTTTGGTTCATTTAAATTGAATATCAATAGACACTCAGCACAACTTAGAACTTTTGCTTTTATTTTTCTGCATCTCCGAGAATGGAACTTTTGCCATCTGCATTTCTTATTTTAAAGGATAATTGCTTAGAAGCACCAAATGTGCAACCATTATAGGCTGCTATATCAAAGAAAACCAATGATGTATTATGTTAAACCTTATTACAATCTAATAAAAATTTCAGATTACTCTGAAAGATTTTGGTCAGCAATACATTCACTTAATGAAAAAGTTGTTTTCTCAAAAATAAAAAGTACAAGAAGAGCAGAATTGAGTTTATACAATATCGTGAGTTTACTGGCCTTTTACTCAGTCTTCAAGTTATTGCTGATCTTTATTACTTATCTTTGTAAGATCTTGTCATGTTCTTTATTTTGCCAGAATGGAAACATAAAGCTTGAAATTCTTTTAATTTATTCTTGTTCTGTAATCTCTAGCTGTCTCCAAATATTAGTAGTTCTTTTTAACATATCTGATGCCCTTCTTCCATTTTTTTCCTACATCAATACTTTCATGATGTGAGTAGCTGTAAATTGTTGACACTGATAGACTTTCTTATACTTTGACCAAGAATGCTCAGACTTCTTCCAAATCTATCAACTTGTGCCCTTATAGTTGGCTTATTGCTTCCCTTATATGCTTAGCGTTTGCCCGGACCCTTTTCTCTATCCTTTCTATTCATAGATCTATTCTTAATCAAGTTTTTATTCCCTTCCCTTCCCTGTAGAAGCAATAACCCTGTAGATCATATGACTAATTTTCAAACTCAGTTTAAATGCTATATTTATAATCCTTAAATAGTTCAGCCTATAATCAGGTTAAAAAGCATCAATTCTGTGGCACTAGCCCTTAAATATGGCTTGCAGTGTAGTGTGACACATGTTATAGAAATATTTACAACACAAACTTGCAATTCAGATAGCCTGGTGGACTTAAATCACAATAATTGATGATGACGATGATGATAATGGTGATGATGACGATGAGCCATACTGTCTCTTGAACTCACAGCTCTCAATTGCCTAACTTCTGATCTTTCACATTTGAGATTCATATTTGACTTCCCTCTTTGTGGTTTGATTCTTTCTGAACTTTTCTAGACATCAAAAAAGCCAGGTGTGCAGAGACTCACAAGTCTCCTTTTCTAGCACATTTATTCTATGGTATTCAGTGAGCCATGAGATTGCAATTAAATTAATATTTAATTGCAATCTCATGCAATTATCTTTTGGATCTGGGCATACAAATTTGAAAGGATCAGCTCTTGTATTCCCAATGTTGACATTTCCCATAAAGCAGGGTGCATTCCCGCATGTCTACCCCACAGAGCCCAATCAGAAAGAAGGTAGAGCTTCCCACACTGTCCTCCTTGTGCAGACACATCTTCATGTATAACACAAACCCAACACAAACCTTGTGTTCTCATGTCCAACACAAATCCATTCATTCACATACACATCCAGAATCTCACTCTCACTTGCCCAAGCCCACCTGACCTGAACAAAAAATAAGCTTCACTTGTTCATTCAACTGGAGACTAGCACCTTTTTTCCAAACCTAATCATGGGGTAGGGAGTGGGAAAAGTACTGTGTGTGAGGGGAAATGCAGCCTGCCAGGAAGGGGAATTTAATCTTTCTTTCCCCATCTCAGTCTCTGTGAAGATTTTCCCAGTCCTTAGTGGATAACTATTAGGCTTTTAAAATTTTCTCATTTGAGCTTTAAGCATCTCATTTTATGCTACCATTGGAAGGAGGATTTGAAAAAAAGAAAGCATTGGTTCAACCCTCTAGAGAAAATTTGATGCTGTTTTCTTTTATTTTATGACCTGACAAAAGTATTTTCCACTGCTATAATGTTCAGCCGAAATATACAAGGGTTGTACCAGCAGATTAGTTTAAGTTTAGAGACTGTCAGTCTCCATTGCCTAGCCTTTAAGATGTTTTCATATAGTACACCTATTTTTAAAGGGTTTTTTATTTTCAGAGTTTCAAATTATGAAAAAATGGCAGATGAGAAAATGAAGTGTTAAGAGAAAAATATTCAGATTATGATTTTTGCCTTTTCAAATAAATCAGTAGAACAACTGTGTTGATGAGTGGGCTGAAACACTCACTGGGCAACCTGTTAACATATTGAAATGAAATATCAGATATTCTGTCCAATAACTGTTCTTTGGTTTGGACACTGGCATTTTAGGATACCACCCTATTAAATTCCAATTAAATTCCAGAGACTGATGCTCATCCTGTATTGGGTGGGATGAGCAGTAGAGACGATCTTTACTTCCCCATCTTGATGCTCTACATTTTTGCTAGAGAGGATTTTTGCCCCTTTATGCCCCTCTTCAGCCCTCTACCTCCACATTCATTGAAATATGTCCTCAAGCTAGTAGAAGCAGCTGGTGGACTTCTTTTCTCGCTGGCCACAAGAGGAAGGGAAACAAATTCCTCCTCCAAGATCAGATCACTGTTTCCAATATCTGATCTGGAAATATGACATTTCCCTCAGATGCTGACTAAGGATCATAAAATTGGTTCCTACTTTTAGTTTACATTTATATTAGATCAATGCACATAATGTAATTTTGCAACTCTGCTACATGTCAAACATTAAGCATGTTATTACAGATATTTTATTTGGTCCAAAACAAAGCTATGATTCATTTGACTGACGAAGGAATACTATTCGTGGTAATAGTTAATGCTGCACAAAATTAAAATTACACCCCCACCCCGCTGTCTACTATATAAATCTATTATGCTCATATAGAATCATATTTGATAGCCAAATCATAAAGTCAAAATAGAACTGCTGCTCCAGAAAACAGGTTGTTATTTATGATGGAATATGCCTGGAAATAGTAAAATGTATAAGATATTATTAAGAGAACAGGATCAATATGATTCACTTGAAGCAACATGGGAAACAGATTAGAGAAAAAACATCAGTAAAGGAAGATTGGGAAAATATTTGGATGAAGATATTAAAATTTAGGTCAATAAGAATAAAGGAAAATTTCTGTAAAATTGTATGGAAGTGGTAGCTAACTCTGGTGAAGTTGAATTGTATAGATAACAAATATTCCAATTTACATTGGAGATGTGGTCACAAAGTGGGTACAAACTTTCATATGTGGTGGGAATGTGAATATACAACCAAGTTTTGGGGAAAGTTTTTTAAAGAGAGAAGTAAAATATTAAGTTCAAATATAGAAATATGCCCTAAGATTACATTACTTTCAATATTAATAAGAAACAATGGAGTTGGAATTATAAGGCATTGATAACAAATTTAATAACTGCTGTGAGACTAATCATAGCTAAGAACCGGAAAGTAAAATATGATTATCAGTTGTGTGATTGATATACAGAAATTTGGAATATAGCTATTAATGATAAATTAGCCTGTGATATTAAAGTGAGAAAAAGGCATATAGAGAAAGATAAATTTAATGAGACTTGAGGCACATTTATTGCTCTGGTTTAGTCACTGCAGCAACTGACTGTTGATCAGAGCCAGTTACAACAAGTATGTGACTTCCTTGCTAGCAACAGTCTAGCCTGCAGTCTATTTCCAAGAACAAGCCAAGGTGCTGGTTATCATCTAAATGATTTAGGACCATACTATTGAAGGATTACATTCTCCTATGCAACCTTGTCTAATTTTTAAGATCCTTGGGTGAGGCCCTGTTTTCATTAAGATTTTATTTTAAGCTGCATTTGATTATTGTTATCCACCTTGAGTTCTCTGTTTGGCGAAAGACAGGATCAAAATTGAATTAATACATGCATTCATTTGTTACTCATAACCTGGGTGCTCCCTCCTCATGCCAAGAGAAATCCAAAATGATATGTAGTATTCTTGAGCCATTCAGAGGTTCTTCTCCACCCTTGAACTGGCAGTGCTAATAGCTACTGGTCCTTAACTTTGGAAGCAAACACATAAGAACACAGCATGGAAATAGGTTCTTTATCTTCTTAGTTAAACGTTTCACCTGCATTTTCAGTTTATCTTGCTCCTGTTACAGATTCTTATCTTCCTTCTTGGCTATTTTGACATAGTAAGTAGTGATTTTGTTTCTGCATAATGAAAAAGCTTAATTAAGCCTCTCCTTTTTGTAACATGAATATTTGAATCTCACATTTTCCAGAAAGCAACCTCCCTCCTCTCTACTCAGGAAACACTATCTTAATAATGTTACTTTAGTAAGTCATGTTTAATTTTCATTCGTTTTTATTTTTCATGATTTCAGTTGCTTTCCGATGAATGCCCACATGTAGTTTAAGAAAAACATTTCTATGTGCTAAAAAAGAAATCCTCAGATTTCTCTTCTATATCATACATTGTATTTTTCTATAATATTTACTATTTGAGTAAGGATATGGCAAATGTCTCTTTCATGGAAGTTGGATGCTAATTTAATATAACTGTTTAAAAATTGCAACTTGCACAAAGAGAACAAATAGAATTTTACATGATTTTGCTTCTCCTGATTTTGCCTAGGAAAATGAATTTCTGCCTTAGCAAGGAACATTGTAGCTTACTGACAGCTTTTAGAAATTACTTGCAATTTCTGGGGAAATGGGCCACAACTAGCAACCTGGCCTTTGCTGCCCTTGGCACAAAGGATCAAGCTTTAGCTGCAGCAGGAGTTCATTACGTGTGCTGCTGAAGTTTAATAAGTCCATAGGTTTGAGGTGTCAGGGCAAATTAAAATGCTGGGACATTCTAGGAATTTTAGGTCTGCTTCTGTCTAAACTTGCATAGGATTGAGCCTTTACTGAAATCAGTTTAGCAAGTTCCTGAATTTCTCAAATATGGGAAGAAAGTTGGCAAGTAGGCATGGTTTGGCTTAGTCTTTGGGTAAGATCTGTTTGGCACTACACAAAGTTCAGGAAGTGGAAAAGACCACACCTATGGCTACCTAGTTGCAAGGAGACACATAACAACAGCTCATGTTTAATTATTTCATGTAGCATGGGTGTAAAAATCAATCCTTTTCTAAGACTGCACAAGGTCTATTTGTCTTTGTGGAAACGGAGAGACATCTCAGTTAAGCCTGGGTAGTCCTTGCAGTTAGTAGTCAGTTTCAGTCTCTATAAGCTATGCAGCTTCCATCAATCCCATTCTTTAAAATGTTCATGGTAATAGGGGCATTAATATCAATTCTAATGACTGTGTTCATTGTTCTGGATATAACTGTTCTGGATAAAACTGTTATAGTACAACACCAAAATTTGTAGTTCTCAAACAAATAAAGGCAGAGGTTATATTTCCCTTTACTTTGAGAAAATTGCTTCACCATTGTCCACTTGTGCAATATATAGCTCTTCCTCATTAATGGCGTTTTCTGTTTGTGTGTTGGGCTTTTCTTCTTATTTGTGCCTTACCTTTTCAGAGTATTGTTTAATACCAAGAGCTTGTTAATTAATGCATCGTGTACTTTGTATGTGACTTCACCATGGCAGCTGTTGTTTTTTGAATCATGTCAGTGTATACAGGACTGAAAGTAAAAGATTTGAAATCTTGTTTGCCTGGAAAAAAATAGGTTTTGAGCTGTTGTCTGCAAATTGTGGGTGGAGTTACTAGTTAAGCTTTGGCTAGCATCTGGCTGCAAAGTCCAATTGTTTCACAGTTCTGTACTTTTAAGCAAGGATGTTTGGAACAACATCTTAAATAGGATGCTAACTGTATGATTAATAAAGAAATATTACTGCTCTGGAAGTGAGAATTAAGTTGCATTCATAAGGAGACTTGCTCCAAACTAAGTGTGCTGGTAAGGGAAATTTCAATAACTCTAATCCCTAAACCACCTCTGATGATAAGTGATTTTTCCTTTTTAGCACACCATCTTAGCAGAAAGAACCTTTGTCAGAGTCACTTTTGGGGGAAATATACTTTCTTTGGGCAAGGGAAATTGCCTTTTTAGTGACTGCATTCAAACAGTGGAACAACCAAATTCAGGTGCTCACCTAGCCCCACAAATGCTCTGTTTCCCTCCAGTTAGTAATATTTTGTTTCAGTAGGTGCCCGCCTTTCTATATTTGTAATGTTTTATCTGAAGACTTGTTTTTATCTTTTAGCTTCTATTGCATTTTATTTGAATTGTACTTTTATTAGTGAATACTGATGCAACTGTTCCAAGCTGCAACAGGTGACCAATGCACTAGAAGAGAGTGGAATAACAAAACCTCATAGAAATCTTAAATATGAAATAACATTAAAATAAAATGCAATGTTTTAGTCTTTGCCAGATACCAGTCTGAAGTTGGTTATGGGTTGAAGCAGTCTTTGCATAGAATTTGAAAAGGATGGAAATCTATGCATCTATACACAAAGAAATAATACATTTTGTGTTCATTTCAGTGATCTTCTATGAGATCAGAGTATACACTGGGTCAATTTCTGGAGCAGAAACTAATTCTAATGTGTATATCACCCTGTTTGGAAGCAGAGGGAATTCTGGATATCGGAAACTTCTAAAGTCAAGGACCAATAAAGTCAAATTTCAGCGTGGTCAGGTAAAGAAAATATACAGAATCCGATACATTCAACAGGCAATGCTCTCCATGGGCTGCTATTGAAGACTGTTAAAAAAACCTTATCAGATTTATAATGCTGAAGCCAGGACATTTTCTAGCAGCACTTAAAGAAAGCATGTGGCTCCTAAGGTACAATAATTTCTCCAGCTGCTTGTCCATTCTGGGAACAATTTCCAATATTGATTATGACTTCAGGACATGGGATCAGGACTGCCTTCTCTCATACAGGTCTGCCCAGGTCTTCTAAAGAGATTCAACTCCTTTGACTTGCTGGTATCTGACATGCATTTAACAGAAAGTTATGCAAGGCCCTCTTCAGTAGCTGGCTCAGATTTGGGAACTCCCTGCCAAGGGAGGTTCATCTAGTCCCCTCCTTGAAGGTTTCCTACTGGCAGGCAGAAATGTTTTTGTTCAAACAAGCACATATCCTTTTCTTGCTTTGGTTAGCACATGGTCTGGGTTGTTGTGATATGTGAACATAGCCATGATATGAGTAATAAACCATAGTTTCTTATCTTTGAACAAGCCAGAAAAACAGACCATGGTTTGTTGTTAGGTTGTGCACTCTAGATTCATTACACTAGGTGGGTTACTTGCAAATCTTTGATGTATGGATTGTTTCACCAGGTTACATATGGAGCAGGCAAAAACCCAACTGCTCTACATGTAAATGCTACAGGCCACAGAAGCATGTGGGATGCAATGAGGTAGAAGCCAACACAGAAGGAAACAAACAACCCTTGGACTGAGAATGTATGCCACATAATGTTCATTCATCTGCCAGATAAACTGTGCAAGACAACAAACCCTGCCTTAAGCATTGTGTGTGAAGCAGTCTTTCTGTGCTATGCTAAGGTTTAGGGTGTGATCCTATTCTGATGATTGTTGAATTCCCAAACTCAGAGTTTTACATTAATCCAAAGCAGGGCAGGAGGTTCATGTGATGCTTCTTGCACTTTTGCTAGATAGACATTTTTGCCCATTCACTGACAATGTTTCACAGAGGAAGGGGAAGGGAGGAAGCTGGGGAGCCCTCAGGAAAGCTCTTCTTTTCTGCCCACTTGAATGCCCCCCTTTCCTCTTCTTTGAGGTCACTTTTCCAACCTTGGAGAACAGCCAGTCTGTGACCTTCAATCTAGGAACCTGAAACATTCTAAGGGCCTTCAAATTTATTTTTCCATTATTTTTAACTTGCTACTAGTTTTGTTTTATCTTTTATCAGCTCTTTTTATGTGTATATGTTTTTATAGTATTGCTATAGTATTACAGTATTTTTGTATTATAGGAAGATTGCTCAGGAGTGTGACAGAAGAGCTGTTTAGAAGAAAGTGTCTCCTGGTACTTGAGAACTTTTTTTCCTGAATTGTAAATAGCTTTCATATCAAATCCAAAGCTATTTTTAATCCATTTGCAGGCTCTGTAGGAACAACTGCTGGGAGGAAGATGTAGGTACACTGCTAGAAAAAGCATGTTGGCATCCCAGCTTGCTGGCATTTCTGGAACATCTGCCCCTTGCCAGTTCTGTTCCACAATACCACTTCCTTCCTCGCCCAGAGGTGAAAAGGCAGCATTTAACTCCTGGCTCTCACTGCATCTGTTTCATGGGAGCAGAAATTGCAAGGAAAATAAAATTGAGTATTTGTGTAGGGAAAACACTTGTTTGTTATACTATTGTGTGTGCGCATGTGCATTCCCATGGAAAAACTGGACATTATATTCAATAATTAGAATGTAAAGATGTATAAAATTGGTTAATTTAGTCACACTATACAGTTAAATCATCTTTAAAATGTAAAACATCAATTAAATGCAGTTTTTAAATAGCTGTTTTAGTTTTAGTGACTTTCAATGATGGATACACCTGTTTGCACAGTGCTATATCCAGACTCTTGAGTATAGCATGTGCTTTATACAAAAATCCATTTTTCACAGGTCTATGCCTATAATCTATCCTTTGGATTGTATTGGTTCCAATTTGCTACCCTTTCTGTGTTTCTGCAGACTGATGTGTTCTCCATGAAGGCTGTATCTCTTGGTGCTCTGAATAAAATTCTCATTAGCCATGATGGAACTGGTCCAGGTAGAGCTAATTTTCTATTGACAGATCAGTTTGGCAATCTGTTTTAAAATGAACAGCCATTTTCTCATCTGTAGTTCCATATTTTAAGATCAAACAAGATTTTATTTTCCCTGCACAAAGCACGGGATTTATCCATCTCGGTTAAGAGCAAGTACCTTCATATTCACATTTTATGGAAGAACTTCAGCCAATGACGAGCCAGCATTATTTTATATACCCCTATATTTCTAGTGTATTTTCTTCTAATTACTTCAAAATTTATGAAGATACGAGCTTGCTGTTTGTCCTTCACATACCTTCCATAAAATGATAGTGGTGATTGCTTTTCTTTCAAACATGAGGGCATGTACTGGCCATCCACAATAAACATGGCATGCTTTCAAAACCAAAATATGTCTTAAAATATTATAGATTAGTATGAAGTGGACAAGAGATGAACAAATCAGCCTCATAAAAAGTGCATGTGACCTAATTTGATAATTAGCATGAGCATATTTTATACTGGATCACTTATAAAATATGTCCACATTGCTGAAGAAAATAGCAAAAATGTAAATCAGTTTCACAGAGAGTGCGATTTATCCAAGACTCCATCAGTTTGATGGACATTTTTTGAGATGTTTTCCTAGCAGAATAATGACTGTTTTGGATTGAAGGAGCCTTATTTAAACAGAAACCCAGATTCATGTGTAGACATGTGGATCTTTATTTCTTAAGTAAGATAAGAAAATGAATATTTGTGATGAGAATATATTTATGGGGCATAGCTCTTGTAGGTTTGTGTGACATTCACTGTCACTGCCACCACAGGACTTTATATACTTACTAGATTTCTATCCCACCTTTTTTCTTACAAAGAACTCATAGTGACTTACATAATTCTACTCCTCTTGCTCTCAGACTTATCCCCACAACAACAACCCAGTGAGGTAGGTTGAGCTGAGAGTCTGTGACTGGCCCAAAATCACATGGTTCGCTCCATAGCTAAGCATGGACTAGGAACCAAAATTGCCAGTCCCAAAAGTTCCAGTCCCATGCTCTTAACCACTACACTTAACCACTAACTACACTTTTAACCACTGGCCCTCACTGGTCTCATTCATCCTTTATACCTGGTGAATTTGTCCCCTAGTACCAAGAACTTTCTGGATTACATTTTGTGTACTTCAGATAATAATGTGTAGTTATCACTAGTATTATGGTGCAGGAGAAAAAGTGTTCATGAAATGAAAGCTGGGAAACTGCTAACTGCAGACTCAGTCCATGCATTGCTATTGCTGGCTGCTATTGCTGGCAAAAGGGAAGGGACATGGTGCTAATCTCTTTGGCCTCATTAACTGGGTTTGATGTGTGTGAATTATTCTTTCTTCAGTCCAGATATGGGGAACAGTGTCCAGTGCTGCTTCTGTATTCCCACCTGACCTGTAGGGCTACTGCTAGTACAACAGGGAGCTAGCAGAGGCAACCCTATAAAAAGTGGAAACACTAGTTTGCAGATTGGGACAAGTCAGCAAATATACCTTCTACAAACTCTAATGACTTCCTCTGTTCCAAAACAGACATTAGCATTCATTTTACAACAGTTCCCTGCTGTTCCATAACTGTTGCCCACTGTTGCCCTGACTGTCAGGAAGCACTTCCTGACAGTCAGGACCCCGAGGGAGTGGAATGGGCTTCTACGAGAGGTCGTTGAGGCCCCATCGGTGCGGGTGTTCCAGGATAGGCTGGACGTCCACATGGTGGGCATGTCATGAGTGGAGCCGGCTGGTGCTGGAGGTCAGACTAGATGACCAGGGAGGTCCCTTCTGACTTGCTCTGTTTCTATGTTTCTATGTTTTGCGGTGGGTCTTTCTGGTGTGAAAGCAGGCTTGTATAATGGCCAGAGTTGGTGTACTTTTTGTCATTGATTCACAGGAAGTGGATGGTTTCTTGAAAAGATTGTCATCAGATACCAGGAGGGAGAAGATGAAGAAGTTGTATTTCCCTGTAATCGGTATGTAATTTGTAAATGCCAGTGGCATTTCAAGGATATGTCCTAGAAATTCCTGATCTTAACTCAACATTTACTATGTGTTTGCATTGAGATCATTCATGACAGACAATTTTCCATCATCAGAACACCATTGATCTTCTCCTGAAATGTGTAGATGCAAGTGAGTTGAGTGTGTTCTGGTCATATTTTCTCTTCATGTGGGGCAGTGCTGAAGCTAATTAGTGAGGGCCTTGGTGCATGGTTCTGTGGCTAGTTTGCACCAGTTCCTCAGAGTGGAAGGATTTCAAATGGAGCTAAATTTAATGCAACCCCAGCCAGAACAGGTTGAACTACATTTCAATGTTTCAATGAACTGGGTCTCTTCAGCCTGGAGAAGAGAAGACTCAGAGGGGATATGTTGGTGACATACAGGTATGTGAGGGGATGTCACATGGAGATGGGTAGAGACCTGTTCTCCCCTGCAGAGGAAGGCAGGACGTGCTCCAACAGAGCAAAGCTCAGGGAGCCAAGGTTCCATTTGGATGCCAGGAAGCACTTCCTGACAATCAGGACCCCGAGGGTGTGGAATGGGCTTCCACGAGAGGTCATTGAGGCCCCATCAGTGCGGGTGTTCAAGGATAGGCTGGACGTCCACATGGTGGGCATGTCGTGAGCGGAGCCGGCTGGTGCCGGAGGTCAGACTAGATGGCCTGGGAGGCCCCTTCTGACTCGCTCTGTTTCTATGTTTCTAGGTGAATCACATACCTGCAATATTGCTGACTTTTCTGGATTTGGTTTATTGGGCTTTGTCCAGTCCATTACCAGTTAAGCATATTTAGTGATTCAGCTAAGTCAAATGACAAAGAGAAAGATATTCAGGTGTCATTTTCATAATGATGACAACCTCAGTCTAAAACTCTGCATGTCTTCAGCTACTTTACATGGATATTTACAAGCATGCTGCACGTCACCATAGCATAAATGTACTAGCAGAGATCTCCTGGTACTCTTCTGGAAATGACCCATGCAACTGCAGACCCTCTTGTCTGGATCCAGCCTGAAACACTGAAACAGCCTTGGCTGACTTGTTGAATGATTCATATTGTGAGAAGAATTTGGAGATGGGACTCCTGAAGCTCCCAATAACCTTTGAGACCATCCATCACCCATGGCTACCTTCTGAATAGGCTGTCTAAATTGAAGATCAAGGACACTGTTCAGTAGTTCCATGCCTGCATGAATGGCTAATTCCAAATATTTGTGATAGAAGACAACTGCTGCATCCATGGCTAAGGCTGTTGTGCCAGGTGTAGCTCCCCTGGAAACAAATAGCCTGGCCCATATTCAGGAGATGTGCATCAAATTTCTGGCGGGACGCCCAAGAAGTCTTCCCTGAAGCTTTAATGAGTGTGAATAAAGCTGCTAAGTTACTAAATTGACCTGGTCAAAAGGAACATATTTTAGCAGTTCCTAAACCACTATCTTGGCTTCCTAAGGGATGAGACTTGCCTCTAAACTCCTAAATGGCTTGGAATTCAGGAATCCAAAAAGCTACTTGGCTCCCACATGAACCTTAGCTGGACAGCCTTTTTGAGCCATAGATGCTATATGAATTTGTCCTAGCATGAAGATACTTCTTAAGCATCCTTAAGCAAAGCAGGTGATGAATGCAAAGTGGATCTTTTCAGGAGGGGAACTCTGCATGCAGAATACCATGCACTCAATGCTGAATTTGATATCTTTGCAAGAGTAGGCAAAAACGTTTTCACTTAAGCCATTTTAATTGTTGACCTTCATCACAGCTTATAGTTTTTATTGTTTTGTTATAATACGTTTATTTATTTCTTTGTTTTCTATATTTCTCAATAGCTAAAGCTCTCTAGGCAGTTTACAACAGCACATTAAAATACAATATAAAATGCACCATATTAAAACTGCATTAAAACACTTACAATACATAATATAAAACCAGATTTAAAACAGAGAAAAATTGCAATCACTTGAAGAAAAATCTTCAGACCTGTTTAGCAAGCTCCAGTAGACTAACTGAATTCCCTGCAGTAGACAACAGTCTTCACTTGACGCTGGAAAGATAGTAAAGTTGGCACTAGGTGGGCCTCAGGGGCGAGCTCATTCCCTAACTGGGGGGCCACCACTGAAAAGTCTGTTGTTGTTGCCACCAACCAAGCCTTCCTTGGAGGTGGCAGGTCTCAGAATTTGATTGTAGTGTCCAGATAGCTGAAGACTGGGAGAGAGATTTGGTTATTGGGTGTTACTTTATCATCATTGTGATGTGCTCTGAGTTTTTGAACTGCAGAATGGCATTAAAATGTTTCAATAAATAAATGAATACAATTCCTCCATAAGATTAACTAGAGCTACCCTTGCTAAAATCTGCTAAGATAAGATATAACTTGACAAGAGATGCTTAAAATCTTTGTTAAAAAGGGAAAATAATGTGGGGTTTCAATTTGCTAAGACTAAATACTAACTGCCTTCATTGTAATTACTATCTTTTTTTACAATGAAAGTTGGCTGGATAAATATCAAGATGATGGAAAGACAGAGAGAGAACTAATTGCCAGAAGTAAGTACTGAAAATAAAGTTCACTTATCCTGTAATTATATCATAGGTGCCAAATTACTAAGTAAACTTAAAACTGTAGAATCTTCTTATGAAAGAGAATAAGATTGTTTTTGCTTTTGCTTTTAGAAAACAGGAACGTATCTACAACATATACTAGAGGTAAGTACTTTTAGTATAGTGTGGATTTTGCTTCATCATTCTAGTCTTCAATTAATAAATAAGAGAAACCAAGTTATTGTCTCTTCCAGGTAATCATTCATGTAAACTGTCTGATAACACAGAAAATACAGACAAATTATCTGACAATGATTTTAAGAAGGGGTCATGCCAAGTCATTTAGTCTAAAGGATTTTTCAGTAAGACTTTTGGTTTTCTTCCAGTCTTCATTCCAAAATGAATCAGAGGTTCCTCTGAGAACAGATGCAACAGTTTTGCTTATGCCAACATTGCTGTCTTTTAATAAATGGGGATGGTTCCCCCAGCAAGCAAGTGGAAATGCATTGTAAAGTGACAGCAAAATCAGTTTCAGGTCAGAGTTCATCAGGATATTCTCAGAGAATCCAGAAAAAAATGCAGACTTAAGCTATACTGCTTCCACACACAATAACTGTATGCAGATCATTCCTTTGCAGTAGGAGCCCATGGGCTGTCTCAGATCTGCTGAGGCTGTCCAGCTAGTCAGTCAATACTCTTCCTCTTCAGAACCCTGAACTTCACCTGCTGTTGCTGTCTCCACAACTAGATTAGCCCCTGCACGGCTATAGTTTATCCCATTCCCCTTTCTCTCGTTTCATCACACAGCTTCATAGCACTGGCTGCCTTTATTTTGATAGTTCAGGGCTTTATTCTTTCGTATAAAAATCAAGCACCATTCAGAAGAATGCCTCTTGCTATCTTCCTGTTTTGTGCATTTTTCTATTCATAGCGATACATATGAAAGCTATTAGAAGTCAGGTCTTCTTTGTGGTGGCACCTTCTCTTTGGAACTCTTTAGTCAAGGGAACCTACTTGGCCACAACTCTTTTGCATTTCAGAATGGTTTAGAAAAGCATTTTCTCAGTCTTACTCTCTTGTGAGAAAAGGCCAGCCTACCCCTTGTGTTCTTTGCTCACCATGTCACTGGCAGGACCTTGATTCAAGAACACATTTTATTTAATGGAAATGTGAAAACACATACTGAAAATGAGTTGGTGTGCTTGAGCAAAGTACTGGGATGTAATATTATGCTTTCCTATCTCTGGTGGGGTCCATCTCTGAGAGCAGGGCCTCTTTGTTTAGAAATTATTACCTACTTAGGTTCACACAGAGAAGATTTAGAGCTAAGATCACTTAAAGCAGGGATGAGGAATCTCAGACCTGAGGGCCAAACCAGGCTTCTGGAGATTTCCCAGTGGTTCTGTCTCCTTTGCTTGTTCCATATTATTTCCCCACCACCAACTGATTTCATAGCTTTCCTTATTTCTTAAAATGCCATTCCTAAGGCTTAGTTCTAGCAGCCACATCTTGTAGCTATAATATCTTGGTATATGTTATAGTTTCCTGCCCTGCCTTTGGTCTTGCCACTGGCATGCAGCTTTATAGGAGGCTTATGGATAGGGACCAATATAGTGTTGTAGTCAGTGTGTTGGAGCAGGGTTGTAGTCTCCACTCAGCTGTGAAGGTGAAGCTTGGTCCAGTCAGTACCTCCCAAGCTTACCTCACAGGGTAGCTCAGAAGAAGATTATGTATACCACCTTGGACTCCTTGGAGAAAAATGCAGGATATAAATGGAGGGAGGAAAGGAAGGGAGCAAGAGAGGGAGGGAGCGGGGGGGAAGAGGGAGGATAACGATGGAAAACACATATTACATATCTGACTTGGCAGATTTAAATCTTCCACGGTGTGTGTAACTCTGACCTACCTCCCCATACAGGGCTGGTATGGCTTATTCTTGTGACCTGGATGACTGTAAAGTTTTTAGTATGGTTATGTCTAAGGCATAGAGACACTTGTGATTGTACAAAGTTCTATACAGAGGCAGGGGAAGAGAGGACAAGGATATTCATGCTAAACAATGCAAAAAACATGGGGGAGGGATAAAACCATTGAATGAACATATGAGGAAGAAAAACTACCAAGAGAAAAACACAAGAATGGAGCTAAAAATAAAGTTGTTGCTGCTAGTTCATAAAATAAGTGGAATTATTTCATTTGTTATGAAATAAATGTCACAGGCCACACAGCACCACTAATATCTGTTTGCTTTTATATTTTCTAAAAACCTTCTGAAAATGCAGCTGCATAAGAGTACATAAAAGGCTTTGCTCCCACAGCTTTGTGTCTCAATTTCTGCAGGTTATAAAATCTCAACACGTAGATGAGCACATGGCTTCAAAAGTATCATGCCTATGTGCAGTACTGTTGAATTGTATTGTGGTGACCAAAATAAGAACAAAATCTTCACATTTTCTCTTCAGTGTTATAAATATGGTTTTGTTTGCTTTGCTTGCTTGCTTTTATTTCACAGGACAGTGGAGAGTGCTGGTTAAGACTGCTCAAGATTCCCCTGAGCCCCGGGAGGATAAGAGAATCCTTGTGATTTATGGCTCAAAGGGCAAAAGTGATGATCTTCTTCTTTCTTCACAAAGCTTGAGATCTGTGTGTTTTCAACCAGGAGCAACTGATGAATTCCTTGTAAGTTGAAACTACACAGTACCTCACAGAGATTGCCACGGTATCTTCTAACCAAAGGATATGTTAGGAACCCTGCTGCTGCTGTAGCAAATGTCTTCTCTATTTACAGAGATGGGCCGATACTGTGATTTAGATTTTTCTTCTCACATTTTCCCTGTTTTTCTTCACTCTTTATAAATATTGTTCACATTGCGTATGATATGGAAAGCAGCACATACCTAAAGTCACAAAGAGTGAGGCCTCCAGAAGTATTTGCTGCAACACTCTATCCTCATATAGTGCACAGTTAGGGTAAACATCTCCTAAAGAAGCCAACTCTTTACAGAACATCAGGAATCTGATGACAGTGAGTTCATCGGATAGTATCAGTAAGCAGCATCCTTGGGTAACTGCTGGGATCCCAGACCACTGGTAGGCTTTTCCTGCCACCCCACATCTTTATTCATGCATCCATCCATTCAAGTATTCATGGTTCTCTGATCAGCTAAGGATGGCTGGGTCTGGGAACCAAAATTTTAATTTCCCAGAATGCCCCAGAGCAATATTAACTTAGAGCATGGAGGAGATGGAAGCAGTGGCTCCATTCACCAGGGCTTGCTCAGAGAAGAGGGTGACAAAGACAGGAGAGGCCCTACTGGAGGATACTTTTCCAGAGGTTCTCTCAAACCTGAGCTGACCAAATTAATCCAAATGTTTAAACACAGGTATGACCCAAAATTATTTCTCTAATTTTTCTTTTGCAATTATTTATTTACCTTTCTGTCAAGGGCCTCATAGGTCTCATAGTGATTTGCCATTTTTAATAGTGAAACAAAGAGACAGCTTTACTAAAAACACACACAATGTAGTTTCCTGAATGGCATGAATTCCTCAGTCTGGTCCTCCTTGTTTCTGCCCACCCTCAGGGCATACAGAGCAATAACCTCTCCCAGGGAAGATACCAGAGGGTCTACTTCCACTCTCCCCACTCCAGTAATGGGGGGGGGGGAGTGGGGAGAAACCTCTCAATGCTTTTAACTGTGCTTATCTGAGTGTCTTTTTTCATGCAAGTCCTGGCCATGAGAAGGAGCTATGTAACACCACAAACAAATTCTTCCCAAGGCTAAGAAAGCTGGATGGTCCCAGAGCTAGTGCACAGCTCTGACTCAACATGCTCCAAGCTTTAGGAGCAGGACAGATATGCAGTCCCTCAACATGTCCTTGAGTGCCAAGCTCAGTGAGCTGAGTCCAAGCTTAGGCAAAGTCTCTTTATTCAGTGTAAACCCTTTCCGCCCCCTGCAGTTCAAATGACTATAGACCGGGCTCTTAACAGTCTAGAGGGCTGGTACAAAGAGTATGAAAGACTGTGGTATTCCTCAGATTAACAATAGACCAGTTACAGAAAAGTAGGCACAGGTAAGTTCCATGTGATATACATCCTTCAATTACAGATCCCATTGATCTCAAGTAAACATAGTGATAATTGAGTGGAGCCACTTCCACTGATTACTGGCAGCTTCCATGATTAATATTGGTTCCATTCAGGGATATGCAAGACTGTCACTGTTGTTCATTTAATGCCAAAGATATTTCATTTGGACCCTCAAATATAAATGCATTTTGTAGACAAAATTTGCATGTTCACAAGCTTGCAATCACATCTGAAAAAAAAATTTCCTGAAGAAAATGTCACACTTTACAAATATGAATTTTTGGAAAATCCAGTGTTCATGCTTCAATCAGTGATGGGGCAAATTATTCTTTAAGTGTGCATTGCACCCTAGATGCATGCTTTTCCTGTTTAAATGGCAACAACTATAACAGCACAACGAAAACAATAAAATCACAGCTGGGAAGGAGGGAGACAAAGCTTCGAGTTAGAACTCAGGCCTTAATTAATGGTTTCTTTTCATGGAGAAATACTTTTATGTCCCTACCTGCCGTGCTTTAACTTTCACAGGATTTTCCCTTTTATGTTCTTTTTGCCATAGGGTGGGTACTTTTGGCTAAGTTGCCCAGTTGCTAAATGCCTATTTATTCCCTCCCGTGCTACAGTCTGATATATTGATTGACAGCTTCAACTGAATTAGATTTTTTTTTTTCTTACATATCCTCATATTTGGGGCAGTGAAGTAGAAAATGCAGACTGACGTTACATCTGCTGGTAGATTTTCCAACAGTGAAGCAGTTTAATTCAAGTCCCATTTGACCTTTGTAACATTCTCAGAATGGAATCTAATGCAGCAGCGGTCTGTTGGGGAAGAATGCCTCATTTCAATGATATGGCAATAGGCTGCTGGAAAAGCTGCTTTGGAAGACACTTTGAAGTTGTTTTGTCCTTAGTTGTAGTAGATTGTACATGTGCAGCATTCAACATAGTGGGACCTTACTGTAAATGCTTTAAAAATTACTCAATATACATTTAGCTAGGATAATACTGAAACTCGAGTACTACTTTTTGCGTCACTCTGTGCTAAGTTTCTTATAGCCAAAGCAGACATTGCTTTAAATGAATACATGGCAGCTATGAATGTGTTTCACATTTACCTAAAGTGGATGCAGAGGCCCTGATCTAGGTTCGACTTTAGAGTAAAACTGAAAAGAGGTTATACCTGACAGACATATATTAAAGGAATGTCTGCTTTGGACCCCAATCATCTCAGTAAACTTAAGAGTAAGGTTTGGGATCAGTACTTGGTATTTTCCCAATTTGTCCTGCTGGGATACACTGGTGAGGTTTGCCCTCAGGCTCCCTCAAAATTGTTTCCCAACCTCCATTCCCAACCCAGGCATCTGGGTTTGTCTACTCTTGCAATAGCCTACAGTGCCCCTCACCTATATCCATTCTGGGGCATCCTGATTAAAAACCAGTGATCTTTGACCCCCGATTCTGACCTTTGAGCCCTCAACTCAACTCTGTTTACACCTCCTCAACCCTCCTCAACTCTGTTTATACCTAATTCAGTAAGGTCAGCCAAATTAATAAAATTAATAAATTAAAACCACTGCTGCCAATTTAGATGGTCTAACTAGTGCCATTGGTGCTCAGAAAAGAAATTGTTTTGTCAGGTGCCTAAAATTCAGCAAAGTAGGTACCTGACAAACCTGCAATGGTAGGACTTTCCATAATTGGGGTCTCACCACAGAAAAGACTTTCCACCTTGGAACCTCCTCCTTACCTTCCTTAGGGAGAGGAACCTTTAGGGAGGCTTCCATTGATGATCTTAAACAATGGCAGGAATGTGTGGAACAAGGTGCTCCCTAAGATAATGCGATCCCAAGTCATTTAGGACTTCATATGTCATAATCAAAACCTTGAATTCGGCACAAACTGGAACAGAAAGCTAGTGCAGTTGATGGAGGACTGGTGTAATATGTTCCTAAGAACTGGTTCTCATCAGAAACCACACTGCCCTGTTTTGGATCATTTGAAAAATCTGGCCTGTCTTCAAGGCAAACTCCATTTAAAGTGCATTACAGTAGTCCAGTGCAGAAGTTACCAGTGCATGAATGACTGTGGCAAGACTACCCTCATCCAACTAGGAGCATATCTGGTAAAGCAGCTTATGCTTATAAAAGGCACTCCTGGCAATCGAGTCTACCTGGGCAACCAGGAAGAGCTTGGGGTTCAGGAGTACCCCCAGACTATGAACCTTATCCTTTGGAGGAGTGCAACCCCATCTGGGACAGGTCTACAGTGTCCAAGTTGAAATGAAAATTTACTCACCAAAAGCACTTCTGTCTTTTCAGGATAAAGCTTAAGCGTACTGGCCCTCATCCAGTGCATTACTGAGTCCCGACACTGATTGAGGGTAGAGACCGCCACACCTAGGTCAGATAAAACTAGATAAAACCAGATAAAAAGCTGAGTGTCATCAGCAGAGGTAAAGCAGCATGTCTATCCATTGTATTCATGGTTGGGCTAGGATTTCAAACAGGTGCCTTCCCTGCTCATGGCTCATGTTACTTAGTAGCATTATATGAGGGAGCAAAGGAAGAATGTGAGCACATTTCTTAACACAGTATGTCCGTTGGCATTTTAAGGCAAATCAGGCAATGGCACTTGATTGTCTTTTATGCACAAATGTGTTTCTTTTGTAAAAAGACATAAGTGGCAGTACAGGAGGACAAAGCTGGCTAAGTAAACTTTCTGACATATTATTTATCCCATACCACACCATGCTGGTGCAGCTCTTGCAACTGCTGAATAAGCAAACACTTCTTCTGCATATTAAGATGATACATGGGAAACAGATTTCCCTCAGCCTTTTTTCATCCCTCCTCACCTGCTGCTGTTGAGCACTGCTACTGGCTGTGCTGCTCAAAGTATTTGAGGGATCACAAAGAAAGGACTGAAATTTAAGAACAATGGGTGTGGTATGAAAATCTTTGGGAGACTTTCTGTTCAAAACCCATTTCAGTGGCGCTAAGGTTTTGTTGCTCTCTTTCTATCTTATTGCTGAAGCTGTTTAAATGATCAGAGGCTTTTGTTTCATGAGTTCACCTATTCCCATTTGTGGCAGCACAACTGGTTGCCATGGGAATGGCTATGTGATGTTGCAATTAACAGAAGATTGCAAATTCAGCAAAGCAATAAGCAGGAGCAAAACAACAACAAAGATCTTGATGCTATACAATGATATAGCATATTACTGCATATACAGATTCAATTTCTCAAAAACAATAGGTCTGACTTTGATTTCTAACAAGTCCTATGAATTTTTGAGCACATTCCATTTACTTTTATTTATATATATTTCTCCAGTCTAACAGCTCAAAGGATCAGAAGAGGCTGACATGCACAAGCAAAGCTATCCATGTAGACAGGTTGTCCCACACTCTTCCATGAGTTTCAGGGTGCATGTGCAATGAGGTTTTACATTTGAGGATACAGAGCCTTTCCTAACAGTGCTGAGTGTGGTCCACAGCTATTTATTTGATAGCCACCATAGTATAGTGGCTATAACAGTAGTTAATGGTTAATGTGCTGGACTTGGACTGGAGAGACCTAGGTTCAAATC